CGGCTGAGAAAGACTCAAGGTGCTGAACTTAAACTTGGCAACAGCTGCAGAAACTGGAGACCAGATAGTTTAAATTTAGACCTTTAAAATCCCAACTGGTGCCATTGCTCTGCCTCAACACTTTCTTACACATGTACGTTCACACCCTGCTCTCAGTCATGCTGTCCTCTCATTTACACCCTGGACTAAAACTCCTGAACCCGGCGCTGGAGTGTTTACACAGGAGCAGATCTTTGGAAGAAGTCAAATAAATCATCTAAACTTTATTTCCAGAGGTAAAGGGGTTAATAATGCCAGAAATTCAGAAATTAAATTAAAAATTCATTATATTGTCTTTGTTTTCAAGCAGAAAGCAAAATGGTGAAACTAGTCTTTGTGTATCCTGTTACTAAAGTCTTTTTTCTTGTCTGTTTTAGCTCATTTAAAGATGAATATGGGTCTAGGGTCTGTATAGCTGGTTTGCGAATGAGATGTTTATCCATGGCTCTTGGGCTCCCTCTTATGTCCATAATTTGTTACTACAAACTTTTCTTTCGCATGTTTTTGACATGAACATTCCCAAAGATCATTTAAACAGAAATAAAGGAAAAACTTTTTTTTGTAATAAATGTAATTTTTTAACTGAACTACTTGTATTTCTATTGCAGACAAGTAATTAGATTGTTTATGAGCTTGGGGTGAAAAAAGTTGTGTGTGTTTTTCAAAGTGTGCAGACAAAGGTGAGGATTGATATTCATAAATGTAGAGTTACAATTCTGATAATAACATTTGAATGATGTAAATAGGCAAAAGCCATGTATAAATCGTGATTTAATCAAAGTAACTGTTTCCATCTAGTGGCAAGAATTTTGCATTGCACACTGCATGATGAAGTCATTTCCTATGTTTACTTATTTTCTCATGTCTGGGATCAAATTCAGCACGCTGCTAAAAATAAAAGGTTAGATTTGAGCTGATGTGCGGGACTCATCTGGCTAAAACAAGAAATAAATAAATGATGAAATGTGGACACGAATATTTACATTTATTTATACATCTTTAATCACTGGCTGTGCATTTATTTTCTTTTAATGTTACTTCATGATATACAGTATTTTTCTTCATATTCCCTCATTTACTTGTTACTTTTTTGACAGGACGAGTCCACGGCAGACCTATTGATCAGTATTTGCTAGAAACACACACACACACACTTGCATTTCAAGCTGCACTTTATCTGACTGCAGCTGCGCCTTCATACTCTCCATCCCATCAATAACAGTAATCCCACAATGCATTGCGAGTGCTTTTATTTTTTTACCCTAGAAGTGTTCATTTAAAAAAGCCACTAAACTAAAATCACTTAACCCTTCAGACTCTTACTGTTTCACACATCCAGCTGAGATGTTCAGAAGCGCAGAGACGGATTCATTCAAATGCAATTTTGAAACAAAACAGATTATTTTCATGTGGTAAATTATCTAGAAGCAGCTCTGAAGTAGATACCTTGTTAAAGTTTTGATGCATTTATGAAGCTATTGCAGGTTTAAAGGGGAACTAGGCTGTTTTGGGTCACTTTTGGCACCCCCCAGTGTCCATTTGTAGAACTGAAATCTCTTCGCTGTGCCTTCATTTTTAACACCTTAATCTGACAGATTTAACGGCTTTCCAGCCTTGCTAAATTTCTACAGAAGTGATTCATCACTAAAATAGACAAATCATCTGTGTTTGTGATCTAAAACATACAGGAAACGTGTTGGAAGCAGACTGCGGCACCAGGTATGTCAGCTCAATTAGTTTACTAAGTCTAAGGATATTCTAAGGATATTCTGGCCACAGGGGCAACAGGGGCTGGGTGGCCTTTCATTAGCCCAATAAAGGATCCTTTTAGCACATTACGGCTCAAGAAAATGGCTAAAAACATGAACATTTGCAAAGTATACCTTCAAACATCTCATGTTGGATCAGAGGATTGTTTGGATCCAAACTCCTGGTAATGAAGGGTCATAAGATTGTCAAGTTTAGAAGCAAATTTTTGTTTATTCTCTATGAGGTGTTTGATTGTACAAACTAAACTAAATAAACGTGTATTCTGAAGCTTAGCCTCAAAATGATACACCATGGAAGCTGATTTATTAAGTGGTGGGAGAAGATGAAACAGGTGCTCAGAAGGGCCGCTGTCCAGGGTGCTGAAACGTTCATCTGGAGCAGTGGAGTTCTGGCCTCGTCCCTGGGGGTCTCTGCATGTTTAAGATGTTCCACTGTTTCATCAGGCCTGATTTGTTTCAATGATTAATTACTAGGCTGACCTGAGTATATGCTGAAGTTGTACTTAATTCAAATCAGCTGTGTTTGAAGAAAAGAAGCATCTAAAACAAGCAGGAGCCTCTCAGGCATGAAGTCCCGGATGGACCAAAATTAGACACCAATTATCCAGAGGAGTATATTTAGTTTTTGCACAAAATTATAGCCCACACAGAATTTTAGCAATTGTCTCTGTCAGTCTCAGGAATCCTTGTTGAATGATATTTATCACATGCTGCTTTTCTGTGAGATGTAGGGCTTGAGTCTTTAAATCCTTTAAACCTTGATAAAAAGTTTTCCCCAACTGAAATTTTCTCAAGCCAATACTGTGACACTATCAGTAAAATTTTGTACAATAAAATCGGCACTTTCCACTTGTTGTGCCTTCCACTTCCAGCAGAGGGCAATAGACATGCATATATTCAACAAATAAATGTTAAAATTACCACTAGTGAAAGGCTTCGATTTTAATATTTAAAACTCCCAGTACAGCTTTTTAAAAGATGTGGTTTACTCATTTATTCAATAAATTTGCAGCGCTCATAGTGTAAATCAATGCCTCATGAGTTATTTCAAAAGAGCTATGATGCTCCTGTTCTGAGATGCAGAAGTTTGCTGGTGTAGAGGTGGGCTGAAAACAGTAGCATTACTCATTGTTAATAGTGATATGCACTAGGGCTTTACAAGAAAAAAGGCATGTAGCAGTCCCAGGATTGAAGGAAGGGAAAAGCGATGAGAGCCTCGACTGGTGCAGAGATTTTATTTCTGTTCATCTGAAATTACTTCTGTTGATGAGGTCAACCATCAGACCATGAAAACTGTACAAACGGTTAAATGAACAATGCTACAGCAACCCAAAAACAAAACGAAACAAAAAAACACACACACACACACACAACTTAATCACAGGAGCAGTAAATCATGTACCTCGCTCCGCTTTCCCAGGGGCTGCAAATATCAGATCCTATTGGTACTGTGTCACACAATACAGAATCTCCAGGCTGGGCACATAACCAACTAACATACATCAGTGCACAGTCAAAATAAACTCAATATTAATGTCCAAACATTTCTTAAACATGTACCTCCATTCTGATGGTTTGTTTGAGGCAAAACTCCATCTCCTAGCTCAGCCAGGGCGTGTTTCCTTGCAGGAAGTTTTTCTTTGCCAACACAGCTGTGTTTCATATGAACTAATGAGTAACTTCAGGTTTCACATCAGCTACTGATTAGACAACAGTGCCCCCGGCTGGAAATTCTTCAAAGTGTTTGAAATAAACAATTTGGTATTTCAATAAAAAAATTCTAATTGATCAATATCACCAATTACTGAAAAATATATAAGTAGATGACTGACTGATTGTGTTGTGAAGCTCCTTGAGAGTTGTAGAACCCTAAGAAGGCACTATACAAATATAGGCCATTTAACATTTATAAAAATACATTGTAGAAAATATAATGTAGCGCCAGCGCCCTTTACACTGGCACTACCTGGTAGCTGTTGCGGGTGGTCTTTACGTGTGCTTTAAGAAATGCAGCTTGAGTTTATTTCCGATGATGTTTATTATTTTGTCTGGTTCCAAAATGTCCATGATGATCCATTTACAGCAGTTAAAGTGGGTTTCAGTTAATGCGTTACTTGCCCCAGTGACAATCCGCAGAGTCCTTTACATACAGCCACAGTCCTCGCCACACAGTAAAAAACTGTGGCCCTGGCTATTTTATGTTATTCCTTCATTAAAAGAGAACAGACCAAAAATTAATTAAATGCATTTTTTATTAAAACGTCTTTATTTTACTAAGGCTGAAAGATTGACATCTCTCTCTCTCTCTCTCTCTCTCTCTCTCTCTCTCTCTCTCTCTCTCTCTCTCTCTCTCTCTCTCTCTCTCTCTCTCCACACACACACACACACACACACACACACACACACACACATATATATATATATATATATATATATATATATATATATATATATATATATATATATATATATATATATATATATATATATTATTGTCCAGCCCTAATATGCACACACCTCACTTCTGATTGTTTAATGAATTGCAAAGTCACGATCACCAAGACACTGTGCTCTCTCTCCTCCCTCCCAACATTTTTTGAAAAGCATTCGTGTGGGCATGGAGGCCCAAGCCACGAATGCAAATTCACAGTGTGATGTCAAAATGTGAGGATTTTCAAATCCTTGCATTTCACCATTTTCAATCAGAAATTAAAGCAGGAGATTGGTGTATATTATTTTCATGTTCAGCCTGCATGAAAAACCCAGAGTGACCGGTTACGGCCAAAAATATTAATTTAAATAATGTTTTTTCAGTCAACCATGACTTTAAACATTTAAAAACACATTATTATATGTTTAAAAACACTAAAAATCATTACTTTGTGTTCACAAAACAATTATACAACAGTGCCCATGAAAAAAATACAGTATTGTTCTTTTTATTTTAATAATTGTGCAGAGTTTGTAAACTGGTAAAACTTAATGAAAACTGTATTATTTAATATTAATAAGTCATTTAAAAGTTTGGTTTCAGTGTAAAGTGTTAATTAGTTATAAAGAGCAGAATTTAGTATTAAATCAGATTTTATTTGACATCATATCTGAATACCTGTAGGAGAATAACAATTAATTTAGTATTTTGCTTATTTAGAGTTGACACACATTTAATAACACATAAAAAAGATTTCAATAAACAAGTGTTGATTCCTCTCCACCACCAGGGGGCGACACAAACGCGTGGTTCCCTTTTTGAGGCGTGCTCCAAATGAAAGAGGCTGACTATACCTGTGCGTCTGCACCTCTGCACACGTGACACGTTGTGTTGGAGAAGAAAACCTCTGGGAAGGAAACTAAACCAAGTTTGCACACAGCAGAAACAATATCGTCACGTTTTCAAGACTTTGGAGGGAAAATAAAATACTTTAATGTGTTTTTTAGTTCACGGTCTTTGCTCAATGATTTAAAAAATAATAGGAAAAACTACACATCTACCTCTGGCATCCAAATAAAATATTTTGATTGCTTCATTTTTTAAGATCAGAAAGTGAATCGTAGTTTGACCTCGTGAACAAGGAATACGTTTATGACAGAGGACTTAGAGAAAGTCCAGGACTAAGAGCTCTCTGGATCGAAGATCTCAGCTGAGTCCAGACAAGTGATGAGATGGAAATTTGCACATTTTGACTCAAAGGATGAATGATAAAGCAACTTATATTTAGTCATGTTCCTGGAAGAATGGGTTCATGGAAGGAGCATAAATATTTAAGTGACTCAGTGTGGGATTACAAAAATGAAACCACCCTTGTCTTCATTTAGAATAATAACTTTTTATGTTACAGTGGATGCTGCATACGCATTAAGAAGCAGAGATATTTGTTTGGTTATCATTAATAAAACGTGTACAATGGGCTGATATGTCACATGACAATTTCATTTGATTTTACAGTTGAAAGCTAAAAAAAATACAAACATGGTAAAAGTGGGTATTGCAGGTCTGTCTGCAGGAGTAAAATTCCAACAGAAATGCACATAAAAAGAATTAAATCTGACTTTTTCAGGTAATAAAAATCATAATGACCTGCAAACTCCTGCAAACAAGATGTAGCAGGGTTAGAGTTAGGGCCAAAACATTGTGATCATTAATGAAACAAGACCAGCTAAATAAAGCAACTGCGGGTTGTTGCATCTGCACATCTTCAGGAGATGAAGCCTGGCTCTCTGGAATTATCATGTTAGGTTTTAAGCTTTTAGTCCAAGTTTTGCCTTCATGGCATCAAATAATGGACTCTGGAACAACTTATGGATGCTGTCTCTCTGACATGACCAATAAAAGTAAGGGTCATGGCAGGAGGACAACAGAACTTCCCTTAAGAGTTTGACCACACAAAAAAGTCAAAATTTTAAAAATCTAAAAATTCATTAAAATAATAAATAACCTATGTTCTTGTGATCTAAATTGGGCAAATTATTATTATTATTATTATTATTATTATTATTATTATTATTATTCGTGTTATCGAGTAAATAAATCAATGATGATTCATCTAAAGTCTCGGAGGCTTGTCAGCTATAAACGCGGATCTTATTCAGTCAAATTGACTAAAATCAGGAGCTGAGCAGACAGAAAACTGCGATTCGCATTCTTTCCAAACAAAACACGCGTCTGTGAGCTGAAAGAGAGATTCAACCGAGCCAAGGCTGCAGCCTGCCCTCCATCACACAACACATCTGAAAGAGCCTGATCCCAACTCGCGACAAATCACGTCTATGGAGATGTAGATGCCGTGTTTCACTTCATTATATCGGACAAAAACGATATATTGATGTATAAATAAAAATTCTGATGAAAACATAAATTCTTTATCTAATTCAGGGAGAAGGAGCGCGCGCTCCCAGATGAGGAAGTTCCGTGTTTCAGACTCAAACTGGACTCTTTTCTTTGGTCGCTTCTCTTCACAAAAACAGCAGCAGGGCCCCTTTTGTCCGAGCCGGGACCCCAGACCCATCATTAGCACTGATTACCGCTGACCAGTTTGACAACCTTTTTGACTGGGAAAGGCGTTTTCATCCAGTTTGAATGGAAACGGAAATATTTAGCTTTTCTTTTAGCCTTGTCCAAGCTAGGGTTTAAAAAGAACAGCAGCAAAAACACAAAATAAAATCCTTATTTTATCTTCTCAGCCACAGTTTGCCTTCTGTTGTTGTTTTTTTCAACCCGAAAGTTTTGTTTGATTCATTCATGTAATTAAATGGATGAAGATTCAAATCTAAAATTGCAAAAACAGTTTTTAAATTCATTTTCAGACTGAAGAAAATGTACTTTTAGTGACTATTAAGCAGAATCGAGGGTGCGCTTTATTTCTGCACGCACGCTAAAAGGTAAACCGTTAGAGGTGCTGCAGGATTAATTGTTCCTGCTCATTAGCAGCTTCGTTTCGGTCTGATTGCTGATTTCTTGGGAAAATCAACACATGCATTTCTGCGCGTCTCTCCTCCTGCACGCGCACTGAGTCCACAATCTGTTGTGTTTTGATCTCCATGATCTCTCCCGCGGATCATCCGGGTTAGTGAGCCGGCCTCTCGGTGACCTCTCGCTGTCACCCTGCATTACAGGACGCAGAGCATGCTGGCCAATTAGACCTCGCTCTAAAACGTGTCAGTGAACGCGGCACCGTGCGTTATGATACCCAAAACGCTCCTCACCCAGCGTCACAGTGATAATTGACATTGCTTTAACAGAACTGTCCGCAATATGAATAAAAAAAGAGAATGAACTTATTGATCAACAGTTATTTTATTAAGTTATCTTTACTTCTTCTTTTTTTTCCCTTTTTTTTTTGTTTTGTTTTACTGAAACACATTTTCACTAAAGCGCGCATGCTCAACAGGTTTACCTGTGGACAAGGTAAGTATTAAAAACACCAAGCAAATGAATATGAATTTCGAAGGAGACAGAGCAGATCATTTTAAAATAAGCAAATAAACATTATTTATAAAACTTTAAAGTAAAAATATCACAGTTCTTTTTCAACATGAAATACCCACAGAGAACAGCAGGTTAGCGCCAGGTTGAAATAAACCATCCCTTTTTCTTTATTTCAACTCCTCCATTTTTCTTTTTATTCATCTTGAAGCGTCATTAGTCCATGAAACGGTGTGTTCTGTCCTTTTTCTGTTATCCACGTGGGTCAAACGCAAACAGACGCATAGGCCTAATAGGATGAGGATCGCCTCATGTTTTGGCAGCCGTGTGTGTGTGTGTGTGTGTGTGTGTGTGTGTGTGTGTGTGTGTGTGTGTGTGTGTGTTTAACTCAACGCAGGCACTGTTACTTGTTTTATTAGATTGTCTTTCTCTCGTATCTCCTTCCACGCGTCATATCCTCCGATCTGCCGTCATATGTCACATTCACTGTCGCTGGAGGTGATGGAGATGGCCGAGGCGGCCGCTTTGCTGGACAGACTTGCTTCCGGACTGGACGAGTTCCCGAGGCGGTCCACGGTGCCGTCGTCGTCCGCCAGGGAGCGAACCGAGCCGCCGGACAGAACCTGCTGCTGTAGCCTGCAGAGGACAGAGGAACAGTACTGCTGTCATAACGAAATACGTATCTGTCAATTTATATCTACCATAAATAATAAATAACTCGCACTTGTATAGCGCCTTTCAGAGAAAACTCCAAAGGGTTTCACACAGTGTGTGTGTGTGTGTGTGTGTGTGTGTGTGTGTGTGTGTGTGTGTGTGTGTGTGTGTGTCGATGATTTGCTTCTAGAATTTATCGTTTTGACATGTAATAAGATTGATACGTTTGTCTGCATTAAAATGGTAGATTCAATTACAATCAAAAGTAAAAATAAATATATGATAAAAAATTTATTTTGGTCGTTTTTAATACTTTATTTAATTATTCTTTTTGCAATAAAACCAGACGAAACTGGGCAACTCTCAGATTTTATTTAAACATATATGAGATGTTGAAAAATATATAAACCCTGGAATCACCTCCTAACCACGCCTCCAACATCAGATTAAAACTCTATTTCCACCATTAGGATGAGTCTTCTCTCTTTTGTTGAGTTTTAGTAAAGGCACAAAAATAAAATACATCTAAATATTAGATTTGTTTTACTTTTTCGATTAAAAAACATAAATATTGTTAATCTGTACAGTTTGTAAGTCTGCAGAAATATTTTTAACACATTTGTCAAGTGGATATATACAAGCTGACTGTCACAATAATCTAAACTGACATTGCTGAATTATTATGTCTCTTTCTGGTGTGTGCCTTCAAAATAAAGCTAACATGACACGTAGAACAACATATGCACTTAAATAAATTTCTGAACCAATAATAATAATAATAATAATAATAATAATAATAATAATAATAATAATCTGCTGTTTAATGACTCTAATCAGACTAAAATGACCACAGAAATCAAATTTACGCATGAACATGTTTCCATTTGTGAGCGAACGCAGCTCAGGTCGGAAACCGTGCAGATGCTCTCTGCTCACCTGTTCTTGGCAGCCGCCGCTCTGTCTCTTTGTCTCCGGTTTTTAAACCAGTTTCCCACTTGTGTGGGTGTGAGTCCAGTAGCCTGTGCAAGCTCCCTCTTTTTACTGGGATTCGGGTACGGGTCCTGCAAATACCATTCTCTTAACAAGTGTCGGGTTCTTTCTTTGAAGCAGTGGGTTTTCTGCTCTCCGTCCCATATGGTTCTGGGCAGCGGGAACTTCTTGCGCACCCTGTATTTGTCCACCGGCCCCAGCGGGCGGCCCCGCAGCTTCTCCGCCTCCTGGTAGTGCGCTTCCAGCCACAGCGCCTGCAGCTTCGTATGCGACTCTTTGGTGAACTTGTGGTTCTCTAGGATGTGATAGAGTTCACGGAAATTACCGGTGTGGAAGGCGACTACAGCCCTGGCCCTCAGCACCGACTCGTTCTTGTTGAGGACCTCACAGGCCGCTGGCGCGACGGGCAGCGACCAGAGGAAGCGGCCCAGGCGCTCGACGTCCCCGCTCTCCTCCAGAGTCTCGCAGACCCCGGCGACCTGCTGGGGGCTGAAATTCAAGATAGGCAGCTGAAACATGGAGGCTTCTGCTGCGTTTCTCTCTCCCCCTCCTTTCTCCTCTCCTCTCTCTCTCCTCCGCGTCTTCTCTCCGTGCGCCAAGGCTGTCCAAAGCACCCGAAAAAACCAAGGCAATCCCGAACCAATCGTCTGACCAGCCGTGACAAAAACGCACGCACCAAACGCCGCGGAGGAGGGACGATGCTGTGTGCGCGGGGGGGGCCCGGCTACCGCATCCTCGGGTCTAAACTTGGCAGGCAAAGGGCTGAAGGTGCAGGGGGAACGTGAAGCCTGAGCGCCGGGGTCTTTTTCAAGGTAGCTGGGATTGAATGCAGGAAAGAATTAAAGCCGGAGCCGAGATGTATTTTTAAGTGGGGGGAGAAAAAAAAGCTAGTCAAGCCCCCTCCGATGATTTCCTATTGGACTTGGCAGATTGGCTGCTCGGTTGCCATGGATGCACGTCAATCACTGTCAAGTTGGGCCAATCGGGCGGAAAGGGGATCTCAGCGCCTCCCTTTTCAAAAAGAATATAAATATTTTGACCCTTTTTTCTTTTGCGTCTTGCAACGTTCAGCTGTTTCTGTGTTTTCCTGCGTCTCTGTGCGTAAACGTTCGGAATGGGCACCTACACCCAAAAGTCTTCCTTTAAAGCAGCTTCAACGCAAAACGACACGACTAAACGGCCTTTCTGCCCCCGAGATGAAAACCAGCAGATAATATCAGACAGACAATATCACACTCAGCCTGCTCGCGCTGCTGGATTCACTCGTTTTTGTAAAAAAAAAATAATAATAATCTGACTGTCTTTTTCATTAAAACACACTTGTATTTTTTCCCCCAACATATGTTTTGTTGTTTTATTCAAAGGGCTCATTGTAAGAAAATGAGTTTTATTTCACCGTTTCAGGATGAATCAGATGCTGCGCAAATTTGCAGCCTTGAACTGCTTCTAAAAAAAAAATCAACCTGACGAAATCTTTATCCTGCTAATTGCCTCGACTAATAAATAAATGCTCTTTTTTAGGGCAGATAAAACATGATGCGTGTTTGTTTTGATTCTTTGCTCCGCCAGCGCATGATAGCAGGAGTGAAATGAGTGTGCGTGCGTGTGTGCGTGGATTATGATGGCCCCGCCAGGCTACTCGGGTTTTAGTAGGCTATCATGCACACTCCGTTTTGTGCACAGGCTGATTTAGTAAATAAGAGGGCGGATAGATAGCGCAGATGGTTTGAAGTGTCGGGTCAGATTATTTCATGGCTGAATACAGTAGTAAAGTTCATTCTGACGGAAAAGCCTGATATTATTTTCACAGATACCCTCCTCCTCCTACTTCTTCTCCAGGCACACGCACGCGCGCTCTCCCTTCTGTGCACACGCACGCACACACTCCATCTGAATCCCCCTCGGGTTTTTTCTTCCTTTTTTCATGACTACACTCTTGATGCGAGGTTATGAAATGCTTTTTTTTTTGTTGCACAGAAATCTGTTCATTCTCTCGATGCCTATTTGAGACACTTTTAAAAGTATGTGAACACTAATATTTCACAAAATAACCCGTTTTTCTTTAGAATAACGCCAAAAATATCTCTTTTAGGGCATGTTTACCTCATGTTTGTCTGCATCTAGGAGTTGTAAATAAAGAATAAGGCCCTCTATCAGATGAAGCAGGGGAAATAAATTGTGAGGGCAACTGACAAGGTGCTGGACTAAAATATTTAGCTGTCTGTGAATATTTCATGTTTGCAGGCTTCCAGTCTCAAAGCTAAATTTACAAGATCTGCAATACTTTCTTGAAGAGAGTGAATTAAACATGAGGGACTTTGGATCTCTTAAACGGAGGTCTGCAAATAACAACAGGCTGTAAATAACACGCCCAGCTCTGGGTTCGCTTCAAAATTGGATAAAAATGTTAAAATGTAGTTTTGTGGTTTTATATCCATGCAGTCCTGAAATTTCGTGGGAAACTCCGTGAATAGATGCATTTTATTCATTGTGTTTTCAATTGGTTGCATGCATTATCCTGCAACAATCATTTTACCTTATTTTGCTGCAGAGAAAAGTACAGGATGGAGGTGATAGGTCCCAGGCTGCATGCAAGCCTAGCCTATATGTCACTGTGTCAGCAGGAGATAGGCCTCCTGACACCAATATCTCTGCTCAGTCAGCAGCAGCACAGTGGATCTCATTCAAACATTTCTTCTTCATGAATCATAGTGCCACCCATGCTCACAAACAAGCCAACGTCATGTTGTTTTTGTCAGTTTCTTCGTTAGATCAACTGATTTCGACTTTTATTTTGCTGTAGGTCAAAGTCCCGAAGCTCAACTTTTATGTAAAATTAAAAAACCTTTATCAATCATTTAGACCTTTATAAAGCTTAAAATGCATTTTGTAAACCCTCATAAATATTAAAAAGCTGCTTTCTGATGGTACACTAAGCTAATGTGTAAAGTGACAATAATACAATATAATGATGCTTTATTTCTTTGTTGTAATGATTTATTTGAATCTGAGTGGAAATTAGCCTCAAAACTTTGTGTTAAACAAAAATAAAAGTTCAAAATAACGCTGGAAGATGAAGATGAACCATTTTGACCTAAAACTTAGACTCATCAATTCCTGTTATTTTTCTTATTTCTCTCTCATCACATCTAAAATTATCCAAAATAGCACAGGAGGCTACATGTGCACTGTAAAAAAATAAATGTTGAATTGACTCAACCAAGTTATGCCAACTGGTTCCACCAAACATAGTTGTTTAAATGTAAAGAGTTATATTTAAGTAATTTGGTTCAGTGGAACCACTCAACATACCTTTGTTAAGTAAATTTAACACTTTGTTTTTACAGTGTAACTGTAACTGCATTATTTTGAGTTGGGGGGGGGGGGGGTGATATCTATATTCTGCTCCTTATTCTCTTATTTACTCTGTTGTTCACATATGTGTGTGCGTGTGCGCGGGTACTGTATGTCCACCTTGTAAATTGGTTGCGGGAGGGGGCCTGCAATTGTCAATTGTTTTATACTTGGGGAGGGGGTCTGGGATGGGAATATGGAATCTATGGGGCCATTTTAATCTGTGAAGCACTTTGAGTTGCATTTTTGTATGAAAAGTGTTATATAAATAAAGTTGATTTGATTTGATTTCTTGTAATCAGCTCCAAAAGCACCAGAATCAGAAGGAACTCTCACCACAGAGCAACATTTCTAACATTTAATGCACAAAACGACTCCGTTTAATTTGAAATGCTTGATTAGATTTGTGTTTTTCTGTGAGGTGTAATCTTTTGTATTTGTGTTGACTGAGCTACTGTCTGTTGTAAATGAGATTTTTAGACTAGTGTAAAGAGAAACCATTGATGTTTTTGAAATCTGCAAATCGGGACATTCTTTACACTCAATGAAATGAAACATTGAGTTTACTTAACTAATTCCTGTCAACTGGTCTACTAAACCTAACTACTGGTTATAGTAACTGTGTACTACTCTTTACATGAAACCAACTGAAACCAGTTACCATAACTTGATTAAGTAAACTCAACATCTCGTTTCTTACGCAGCACAGATAGTAGTGGCGGTCGTGTGGCTCCGTGCTGAGAATTGCACCTGTGGTCGGCGGCTCGTTTCTGAAGCAGCTCAGTGACAAACATCAACACAGAAGATGTGAAATGTTTGGTGAACCCTGCTGTTGAGGCAAGAACACCTCCTGTCGTCGGTAGCGTGAGGCTGAGCCGCAGCTCGCCGTGGGCAGAGGGAGGGAAGGAGTTACAATCAGGCTGGAAATGACCCAGATTCCCTGGGATCACTGGAGCAGACGAGACACTACAAGGCCCCGTCACCAACGGCCTTCCTGCTACGCCGCACCTTCCTCCCTCCATCTGCTCCCCCCCCCCCCCCCCCCCCCACACACACACACATTACAGCTGCTCTTCATATCAATAGGCCCACAGAAATGAATGCAAACATGTGCACAGGCACATCAATGAGTTTACTCACAATAAAGAGCACTGGTAAGTGCCAATGCGACTCTGAAAGGCAGCACAACACCTATGAGCGAGAATCTATTCTGACCTCTGCGTCTCTTTACATAATCAGAAGAAGGCAGGCAGCGAATTCAATCAGCGCCACATAATGCTAACGTACACCGTTAATTTCCTGAGGCAGGTAGGCACTTCTGCTCAACAGAAGACGCCTGTGCATTCACAGGCTGCCAGTGTTGTGTTGATTCCTCTCTGCACCGTTTACAGTCAACTGGCCCGGCTCAGGATTAACTTTCCAATTAAGATATCATGTCGCCAACATCTCCAGTAACCTCTGCGTGACCCGGACGTGTTCAAAAAGCCTTCTCTGAGCGTGCGGGACTTAAAGTGAAGACACTCTGCTCATATGTTGCCACGTGGCTCTCGCAGTGACAAGAAAGGTTAAGCCAAATCCCTCTCAGAGTTGTGTTTCGGACCCGTCTGCCATCGGGGGCAGCACTAGCTCTCGACGCTACGTTTAATCTGTGGATTTGTGGTAACAGAGAAGACTTCTCATCCACTGACCCATTGGCCCCCGGTGCGCATAATCCAGTGCCTTTCAGTCACAGAGCCCAGCTGACATGGGTAGAGGAGGGCCGGAGCAGGGCAGCAGGAAGCGTGGGGTTGCGCACACATGGCCGACCCTGATCTGACACACATATCATCCCCTCAAGCTTTTGTTTAGCAGGGCATGCACCGGGCATCCCAGCCAGGCCACGGTTATCAGAAGAAATGTGACCTTATCCAAGTTTGCTGTGCATGTACAGCCTTTATGAATCCAAACAGCCTTTAAGCAGCAGAATGTCGACACTAAAGTGATGTTTTTAATATGGAAACAGATCTTTTACCAACAGAAAGTGGACAAAAAGTCCAAAACAAGAGGTTTGCACCCAGATTGGAGAGATTTTTAGGTTGTGTAAATCTCTGCAGCGCTCCTGAATATTACAAAAGGTTTTACCAACCATCTGTTGCCTGTAAACGTAAGTTCATTTAATTCTACCATTGTTATGCTGCGCGCACACACACACACACACACACACACACACACACACACACACACACACACACACACACACACACACACACACACACACACACACACACAAAATGAGATTCTGAATTGAATGTTTTTGAGACTCTCACTGTTTCATCTTCTCCACAGGCTGCAAAATTTGTTAGAGGAGGTTGCATTCGGCTGCTGCAAACAAACAATACAGTGAGAATGGACCTCGAATCCTTGGCTGAAAGCCATTAGGAATACCTTGAAACCTACCCTTTTTTCCTTCAAAAACACATTTGTGGTGCATGTTATAGAGCGCATGCAATTATTACATCCATTCCATTCTTGAATGCAATCAATTTCTGCCCACATAAAGGGCTAAATGAAACCAGGGGGAGCGCACGTTGCACACTGCACCACTTTACACAGCCAATGTGTGTGAGTGTTTGTGTGAGAGGCAGAGCAACCAAGAGCAGAAATCGCAAATGAACAAATGCACGACATCACCTATAGCACTATGAAAAGTGCTTGTGTGTTTGACACAATGGTTTGCTGCTGGAGCCAAAAAGCCAAACTGGTTATTGTGAAACGCGGTGAAACGGACCACAGCCGCAGGTGAGGTTTCACGCGCACAAACACAAACAAAGACTTCTGCTTTTATTTGCTTTTCAGA